AGAAGACGGGCATGAACATGGCATAGAAGCGTCATACCCCACGTTTCCTTCCACAAGGCAGCTTCTATTTCGATTCTATCTGCGTAGGGACCCGTACCTGGTGCCGAACTGGAAGCAGAGTTTTCTGTGGCATCTTGCCCCTCTTCCATGTTCTCCTGGTTCTCCAGCTGCTTCCTCAGTGTCCGAGTCTTGGACGGAAGGACAGGTAACCGGGGCAGGTACGGAGCAACAGATGACGACGAGGCGGCTCTGCCCAGCTCCTCGGCTACCTCTGGGAAGATGACAAGGGAACTGGTAAAAAGAACAGTTTTGTAACAGAGAAAAGGACATTTTCTTTTCAGAGAGGCATGCAGCAGAGAAAGACCTGGAGAGCCCAGCACTGACATATAAAAGGAATCGTAAGGTGTGCACTCTTTTGTCTGGCTCCTCTTGCTCCATGTTAGGTCTGCAGATTCATCCACGTTGCTGCATGTGGCAGGGTCCCCTGCTCCTCGCCGTGTAGATGCCTGTGTGTGAACACCCCAAAATCTATCTGCTCTCCTGAGGGGTATTCAGGTTATTTCCAGTTTCTGGGGAACAGATGCATTGCCAGGAACATCCTGCTACATGGCTTGTGGCTCACAGCTGTAGGCACATCTGTTTGGTACAGATCTTGGAGAACTGGTGGGTCACAAGGTACAGTTTTATTGGGTCCTGCCAAACTTTCCCAAAATGACTGCACCAGTTTACACTCCCGCTAGCAGTGTATAAAAGTTCTGGCTACTCTGCATGCTTGCTAAAATTTGACGTTATCATTCTTTTTGTTCGATTTTAATTTTAGCTATTCTGGTAGGCATGTAGTGGTATCTCTCTGTGGTTTTACTTTGTCTTTCTCTGATGATGAGTCATGTTGAGCATGGTTTCGTAGGCTTATTGGTCATTTGGATATACCTGTTCACTAACTGCCCGTTCAGAGGTTGAACAAAGTGGACAAACATCTGCAGATACTTTGATTTTTAGGTTGCACCTTGCACTAAGAAGGCGGGTAGATACAATTCACTCCATTTCATGCAAACAAAGCAAATTAGGCTCTTGCGAAAGTGTTCACCCCATTAGGAAGCCTTGGCTAATTAAATCTTGGCCATGGGTTTTGTGGCTTTTACTGAGGCAAAGACATACTTTGCTATTCATTCCTGAGCAAAAATGAAGCAGGTGGAATCAATTAAATTGTGAAATTTTGTGATTATTTTACAACTTTTTTGGGGGTTTTTTTTGGGGGGGGGACAGGGTCTTACTATATTGCTCAGGCTGGCCTCAAACTCCTGGGCTCAAGTGATTCTCCCACCTCGGCTTCCTGAGTAGATGGGACTGAGGCACACACTACTGTGTCTGGCTCCTTTTTCTGGTAATTATTTTAAAAATTAACTTTCCACAAGAGTAGGTACATGACGCCTGACCCAAGCCATGCCAATGAGGTTCCTTTCTTTTCTTTTCCTTTTAAGAGCTGGGGTCTCGCTCTGTCACACAGGCAGGGTGCAGTGATGTGATCGATCGCAGCTCACTGCAGCCTCAACCTCCGGGCCTCAAGCGACCCTTCCACCTTGGCTTCCTAAGGCACCACCACACCCGGTGAGACTCCTTCCTTAGGCTGCTGAGCACAGCAACCGGAGCCAGGCATTCTCTGTCTTTTTTGGTCCTGAGTTTTAAAGCTATGACCTCAGGGACGCTGGCAACTGCGTCCCGTGCTACTTGGAGGATTCTGAGGATGAGGCCGATGCAGAAGTGAAGAGAAACTAGACAAGGATGGGTCTAGGAAGAAGGGGGCCAGAAAAAAGAGAGGAAGGAGGAAGACCCGAAGCTACAAGAGTCCTTCAGCTTCTGAAGTTAAGCGCCAGCCCTGCTTTTCCATGGTTTGGTTATAAATCTTTCTTTTATTGCTTAAGAAAGTTGGAGTTGGGTTTCTTTCCCATAAAACTGATTCATAAATACATCCTTTTAATTAGGGACTGTGTCTTATCGCTGTCTCCAGACACAGTATAGGGCCTGACTCAGATTAAATGATCAATACAATGTGGGTTGAATGTTAAGTTTCTTGTTTAGCAATTTTGAATTGAAATTAGCTTAGATAAGGGATTGGTTTTCTTAAGGAATATATTTTCAAAAGAAACAGAAATATTAAACTAAGGATTCAAGAGGAGTTAAAAATTGAAACACAAGTACCAAAAAAGTAGACTCTACTCTCTGGCGAATACCCACGACTAGCAGCACTCTGACTCCGTAGGAAATACAGACACAGAAGAGCAGAGCGGGGACAGACGGCGGTGCCCTCTCCAACCTACAGAAGTTCCATGTGTCAAAGGTCTAGAATGAAGTATTTTCATTGAACTTTAGTGTTATATCTCCCTTTTCCCTTTCTTCTTAACTGATAAATCACTAAGGGAAGTGGACAAAATCCAATCTGCCTGATTTCTCTTCTGATATTTTACAACTTGAACTTAAGTACTCAACTCTATTCGATTATGAAAGAAAGGAAAAACTTGAAAAATATGTACAAAATTCCAGAACTATATCACAGTGTCTAATAGGCAGGTGAAACTAAGAATTCTGTATTTTTACTGATCTAGGAATAGGCCTCTCTCTCTTTGTAACAAATATATTGTTTGACTTTTGCGGATAATTGTAGAGGCTTTCTATACAAAAGTTAAGAAGCTGCCTGTATGTATCTATACACTTGTTCTTTTCAATTTTAAAAAAAGGGTTTATCTCTATTGATAACTTAACCTGTTCATTCTAAACACCTTTCCGTGTCAATATCGTTTAAAATATATTCAATTATATGGATATGATAATTAAGTCAACTAGATATCTAAGTTGTTCTTAATTTCTCAATATTATAAACTACGCTCTGACGCAACATACTTATAGCTAAATCTTGTGTATACTCTTAGTTATTTCATTAAGATCTAGTTCCAGAAATGGAATTTCTAGATATTGCTTTTATGACTTGGTTCTGCCTTTGTATATGTGGTTCAGAGAGTTGAATATTTTTTATATTTATTTTTTCCTTGTCTCTTCCCTGCATTGTAAGTATTGATGTTTAAAGAACTACCAAACTTACTAATTTTCTTTATGGAGAGATTAATTTGTAATTAAAAAATAATTACATTATAATAAATATATGGAACACAAAGCCACATTGAGAAATAGCAAAAAAAAAAAAAAAGCAACACGAGAATGATAAAGGCCAAAATTAATTCGATATCTTGAAATGGAGCCTCAAACCATAAGAAATGATCATTTCTGAAATGTAATTACGATTACCACCACCAGCACCCAGAACTAGCCCCCAACAGAAAATCCACCAGATTCTCACCTTCAGAAATGCTCGAGTCATGGAACATGGTTTCAAAAGCTTGATGCGTTTCAGCAAAAGAGGGCCTGTCAGCAGGGCTCCACTTCCAGCCTACGTCACAGAAGAAGAAAATATTAAAGCTCTTTGTAGGAATTATGTGTCTAGTGGCGCACCCAATCGTGAGTCCCATGCACCACGTGTGCTTATTGACGCAGAGTAAAGCTCGTCTACAGCGACGGTGACGCAGCCGCCTCTCAGCCCCAGCTCAGAAGTGCGCCAGCCCACTCCCAAGGCGGGTCCTTCTATTCGCCCTTAGCTCTTGTTCCCTCTGCTCTAAGGAGAGGTGGGAGATGGTTTAGAAAATGGCAAGTTTTCTTCCACTTGAAAAATGAAGTAAAACCTGTCTTCAAACTCAGTCTAGCCTTATAAATAATTAACTGTATACATTTAGAAATAAAACAGGATATCAGAAGGAGCTTAGAGCTCACATTCGACAAAGGGCAGTAGCCAACGCTCAGTGAGAAAAGAACACGAGGTCTCATGTTCAGACACAACTGCAATGTCATTCACTGCTCACCTTCCTACTTTCTCACCTTCGGGCACTCAAATGTTTCTGTTTATTCATCACAGAGGTTACTTTGGGGCATTTGCTTTAGTCTTTAGCAATCATTCTTATCTAGCTGAAAGCAGCCGTCCCCCTACTTTAATCTCTAAACTATGTTCTTTTTTTTTTCTTTTGAGACAGAATCTCACTCTCTTGCCTGGGCTAGAGTGCCATGGCGTCAGCCTAGCTCACAGCAACCTCAAACTCCTGGGGCTCAAGTGATTCTCCTGCTTCAGCCTCCCGATTAGCTGGGACTACAGGCAAGTGCCACCATGCCCAGCTAATTTTTTCTATTTTTAGTTGTTTGGCTAATTTCTTTCTATTTATAGTAAAGACAGGGTCTCACTCTTGCTCAGGCTGGTCTTGAACTCCTGAGCTCAAGCAATCCTCCCGCCTGGGCCTCCCAGAATGCCAGGATTACAAACGTGAGCCACCGCGCCCGGCCTAAACTATGTTCTTATTAAATACACAAATGTTTTTGAAAAGTGAGTCAATATTTAGGCCATGAAAAACTATTCTTGGATTCCAGTAAGACTCAATGGTATGTGATATGAAAACTGGCTAATCAATGACAAACTCTTTAAATGTCATATGGCTAGAGTCAACCTAACAACACTGAGAGGAGAAATGTTTCTAATTTTGTTAAGTATTCTAAATTGCTAGCTTAAACTTTCAAAATTAAAATATGCAGAAATACTCACATGCTCTCATAAGTTCGTAAACCTTAGGGGGGCATCCCTCAGGCTGTTCCATGCGGTACCCCTTTTCCAGCAGATCGTAGACCTGAGACAGGTCAATACCCGGATATGGCGACATTCCATATGTGGCGATTTCCCACAGCAGTACCCCAAAAGCTGCATGAGGGATTAAAAAAAGATCTTAATGTTTTTCCTCTCTGATTTACTATTTTATATAATTAATTCTCTGAAATTTTGGATCACATTCACACTGTTATTAATACAACAACGTGAATGTACTCTTGTATCGATTCTTACAGCATGACTCAGCCTTCTCAGATACCTGCCACAGCAATGCTGCAGACAGTCTCAAGACAGTTCTTAAATTTCCCAGTTTTTATTTCGATTTCCTTTACTGCAGTGGGGGAGAATAAACTCTGACCATTTAAGAAGCGTGAGGCATAATCCAACTATTCTCAGAATAATCTTTGATCCACAGCAGTCCCCGCTCATCTGTGCTTTTGCCTTCTGTGGTTTCAGTTACTCAAAGTCAACCTCAGACAAGAAATACTAGTATTAAATGGGAAATTCCAGAAGTAAACAGTTCGTAATTTTTAAACTGCATGCCACTCTTGAGTAGCATGATGAAATCTCAAGCCATCCTGCTCCTTTCTGCCTGGGATGTGAATCGTCCCCTCCTCCAGTGTATCCACTCTGCAGACTCCACCTAACCCTTTCGTCACTTAGTAGCCCTTTCGGTTACCAGATCCAAGCACAGTATATAAACACAGCACATGCAGGATTCAGCACTATCCTCAATTTCAGGCATCCACTGGGGGTCTTGGCATATATTCTCCCCAGGACAAGGGGGAGCTACTGTATTTAATGAGTTTAATGGTTTTAAAGTCAGCTAATATTACAGGAGTAAAATAAAAATCGATTTACTTATAATTAGATAAAATTCCCATCAGAAAAAAGAACTTGCTTGATTATGTCACAATTAGGTTATTTCTGAGTTTGAGATTTCTTAGTTAAAAAGTGCCTGCGAATCCTACAGCTATTTCTACTAGCCACACTCTAAAATTGCAGACTTTTTTTAGTCTACTGAGCCTCTTCCAAGTCCTACTGCTTCTCAGGGCAGCAGAAACAAGATCAGTTTACACGGACAAATTCAACATGAAACCTCATCATGCTTTCTCTGGGAAGAGAGCTCTGTGTCACAGAGCTCTGGGAATGAGCAACAAAACCTGCTGTGGAAAACAGGGAGCTTCACAGAGAGAGGATCAGTAGAACTGCAATGCAAGATGCGATCTGGACGGTGAGCTCTTGGAAGGCAGGGACTTTTTAGAATGTTCTTGTTTACACTTCTTTCCACGCTAAGCCCAGTACTGGCAGCCAGCTGCTGCGTGACTGACGATGGATGAGGGTGAAGGCAGAGGATACTGAGCAGCATAAAAAGAGAAGCTATAAAGAATTAAGGGCACTTATAAAGAAACTAAAAAGACATACTGAGGAAAAAGTCCCTTTCAACCTTACCCCAGACATCAGATTTAATTGAGAACGTATTGTAGGCAAGACTCTCTGGTGCTGTCCACTTGATAGGGAATTTGGCGCCAGCGTGAGCAGTATAGGTGTCTCCGGTCATCAGTCTACTCAAGCCAAAGTCAGCCACTTTTACCACGTGGTTTTCTCCCACGAGGCAGTTCCGAGCCGCAAGATCTCTGTGGGAAAGAGAATCCTAATGTGATTCCATTCAGATGGTGAAGACAATGGTCATGAAGGCTCTATCTACTCTTGCCTGGTTCTCTGTGCGACAAGCAGAGTTCTTCAGTAAGTGCTGACAAACAGTAGTATTTTATGATGATCACTAACATGGCAGAAAGCCACTGATCACATGTCATTTATAGAGCACTCACCAAGAGGCAGTTACGTGATGCCAAATAAAGCAGTCTTCATCAAATGGGTTTCTATTTATAAGTACATTGCAACGCGTTTCACAGGTAAGCGATAGACCAACGCTTTTCTACAAGGCTCTAAGTTCTTTGCTAAGACAGAAAGCTATTTTTACAATCCAGCCGCTAGATGGAGCAAAAGGATCTTGGACATAGCGCTGGGCAAAATCAGGACACAGCTCTCGGTTTTGAGACTAGCAAAGGCCCCTCATTAATATTTTAATCAGAGTACAGTAAATTTACAAGTTGGAAATGACATTCTAATGGGCTCTGTGAAATAGAGAACCACTTTCTTGAATCACCTGAAAATTTCTGGGAAGGTTCTCAAATTATTCCTTTACGTGTCAAGCAAGACGGCTTCGCTGTTAGTCACGGGCAATGAGTGGGTTTTACACACCTGTGGATGAAGTTCTTCTTCTCCAGATACTCCATGGCGGAAGAGATCTGAGTGGCCATGTAGAGCAGCACGACGGCAGTCACCTCCTCCCGGCTGCATTCTCGGAGATAATCCAGCAGGTTCCCGTACGGCATGTATTCAGTCACAATGTAAAACGGTGGCTCCAGAGTACACACACCTGACAGTTGAAGAATAGAGTTTGTTTCATTAGCATGCATACATTCAAACACTCCCAACCGTGTCGGCCAAGAATAATTGGACGGTTTTTTAGGTCTAGTTCAGCAGTAATCTTTTCCCTTCTTACGACCACATTCTCTGAAATTAATACAGCAAAAATTAAGAAGTTGGTTGATAAGGGAATCTTTGCTTCCATTATATTGTTCTCTGGAAATTCATATGCCTTTGAGTATTTGCCTGTTTGAGCAAAAGCAAAGTTACCTGCATTAATTCCATAAGGGGCCAAGAAGACCAAAACTTCTAGAGTTCTCTATGTGCCCATGATTCTCCTCCTGGACGGCACACTAACAATACTCACCTGAAAGTAACAGCCACTGTGCACATACTGGAGACTACGCGAGCCCTGCAACGATGCTTTGTAAAAAGACTCTGTTTCCAGAGTCAAAGATCTAGCTGATACATGGCAGATTCCTTACAATGAACCAATGAGAAACTATTTCCTTTGGGATAGATGGGCTCAATTTGAACATCCAAAGAAACTGGTCCTATTTTAAAAAGGGAACGGGGTTTAGTGAAAGGTCTCTTCGTGACCTGAACGGGTGACAAGCCAGTCTATCACAGTATAGCATTTCCTGCTTGTAAAAGGTAAACTGATGGGTGTGGTCACAATTTTTAATTTCTTCTTTTCAATAGTCCCTTGTTTAATGTCTATTTATTTTACAAAACTATTTTGTGACAGTTTTTGGCTTGGTACCATTTTGAACACTTCTGAACTTTTAATCTGGGGCAACTACCACAAACTGAGCAGTTTTATACACTGAAATCAATCCAGGCCGCTGTTTCTTGGGCAGTTTTTAACACAGAGCTGCCTCGATAAAATGACAGCCATTTATTGAAGTGGGTTCACATGTGGTGGTTCCACCATGGCGACTCAAAAGAAGGATCTGGTAACAAGGATTGAGAGGTAAGTATCTCTGAGGAGAGCTATGGTCCAGGCGAGCTTCCTCACCTAACAGCTGTACCAGATTAGGGTGCTTGATCTCCTTCATCACCGCAGCTTCTTTCAGGAACTCCTCCACCTCCATGGTGTCTTCCTGGAGAAAGGGGAGAAAGAAGGAAGGGGACAAACCCCATCTTAATCGTTTACGTCAACTCACACCCTAAAACATCAGCTCTAGAAGTAAAAGAGAGTGACTTTTCAATATTTTAGCATAGTATTTTAAGAAATTTTATCACAACCTAATACGCTCCATAGAAATCCAACTAAGAAAGAAAAAATGCCCTTGAATTAGCCAATATTAGAAACTTATATATTAGTAAAAATTAGCAGGATAATAAAAATTCAGCAATCATGTCCTATAATCAATTGAAACACAGGAAACTTGGATTGGATAATTCGATTCTCTGATAGTTTACTTCTCTAGATACCTCAGCCTTTGAACAAGGAGAACGAGCAGTTAACTGTTTACTTGTTTATCTTCCTGGTTAGACCATAAGCTTTTTAAGGAGCAACGCACGTTTGCAAGGCTCTGTGTATTGTTTCACATTCAGCATATGCTTAACAAACAGAGCTGGCGACTACTCACGGCTGAAGAACAGCCCTCGTGAGGGACATGCCAGAGCTACTGAGGCTCCCAGAGAACCCTCGAAGAATCGTATGAGTGAAGACCCTACGATCTGATACCAGGACACTTAAAGATGAGCTAGAGTACCATCAGGAAAAAGACTTGTGTGAATGTTAAGAACAAGAAGAAGTGATCTAACTGCAAAGACATGGGAGGAGCAAAAACCAGGGAGACAAAGGACAGAAAGAGCCCACGATTCTCCGACAACACACAAAGAATTCAGCCCAGCAGGGTCCTTCTCAGGAAGCAAAACAGCTTGTTTTGCTTTTATAACCTGTAATGTGCTTCTAACCTCCCAGTAAGATTTACATCTACAGCCTCCAGAGACAAACCTCTCCCACACGAGGGTTTCGCCGTGCTGCGGTGAATGACCTGCCCCTGCACTGCCAGCAGCGGCACGAGGTTGATCATCGCAATTTGCTGATGCGCTTGGCACCGGTGGGTGGAAAGTGTTCCAGAGTTAAAGAAGGGCACGCTGGTATTTCCAAGTGACTGAGCACAAAAGAAAAAGATGCCTGAAAACTGCAGTTCTCAGCACCCACCTTCAGTGTTTTCACAGCAACCGTAAGGCTGTATTTCTTCCAGACGCCAACGTAGACCTCCCCATACTGCCCACCCCCGAGTTTGTGCTTCATGGTGATATCTGTTCGTTCCATCTCCCACTTGTCGTGGATGGGGGACACGCCGTAGACCGTAGGCTTATTGCACTTGGGGGCTGGGTAGTGCAGAGTGGTCACCAGCCCGTCGGCCACCGTGGAGTGGTGGTGAACGAGCTCTGCCAAGGTGCTGAAGCGGCTCTCAGCCGTCACGTACACCTGGTGAGAGAAGGGGAAAAGCTAAACAACTTGAAAGAGATCAAGATTTTTTTTTTAAAAAAGTCCTTATCTCACTGGCTAAAATATATAAAGATAGGAGGTTTTCTTAATTGAGGTAAATAAAAGAGTTCAATGATGATGGTAAGGGGAAACACAGAACTTTAGTTTAATCTTATTTAAACAACTCTTCCTATTCTTCCTAAATCAAATTAGCTCAGTATTTGGGGAAAAGCTTTCAAAATATCTGTCTGGGCCTGGCGTGGTAGCTCTCGCCTGTAATTCTAGCACTCTGGGAGGCGAAGGCAGGAGGATCGCTGGAACTCAGGAGTTTGAGACCAGCCTGAGCAAGAGTGAGACCCCGTTTCTACAAAAAACAGAAGAATTAGTCAGGCATGGTGGCGTGCACCTATAGTCCCAGCTACTGGGGAGGCTGAGGCAGGAGGATCACTTGAGTCCAAGAGTTTGAAGTTGCAGTGAGCTACGATGATGCCACTGCACTCTAGCCAAGGATACAGAGTGAGACTCTGTCTACAGAAAAATACACACACGTGCACGCACACACACAAGGTAAAAGAAAGATGCTCTGATTAAAGTAGGCAAGCAGGGACTTGGTTCTTGTAAAATTTTTAGAAATACCACCTCAGAATCTTGCACAGAACATAATTTGAAAACCACTTATTTAAATTTTTATGGTAAGAGGAGGGTATTCAAATATCTTATAATTTTTTATTACGATGTGCACTTGAGTGTCCAGGCCATTCTTTTGAAAAAGAGCCACAATTTGATTTCAGAGAGTTGTTAACAAAATAGTTTTTAATTTGTGATAAACAATTAAGAAGTATAAAGTAAGAGCAGTCTTTGGCCGTACCTCCCAAGGGAGCTTGTTATTTTTTAAAAAGAAACTTTTGTTTTATTACATATAGAAAGGTATGTAATTCATAAATGTAGAACTGATGATTCTTCTAAAATAAATTCATTCATGTAAATATCACCCACATCAAGAATTGCAACACCCCACAAGCCTGCCAGCTGTTTACCCTGCAAAGGGAACCAAAATTCTGACATCCAATGCCTTAGATTGGCTTTGCCAGTTTCCGAACTACACACAAATGAAACCATACAATACGTACTGTTTGTGTCTGCTTTCTTTCACTCAACTTTTTTTATTGCGATATAATTCGCATACCATAAAATTCACCATTTTAAGGTGTACAATTCAGCAGTTTTTAGTATATTCACAAGGTTGTCCAAACATTACAACTATCTAACTCCAGAACGTTTTCGTCACCCCAGAAAGAAACCCCACACCCATCAGCAGCCATTTCCACTCTCCCCCTCCTCATCCAGGGCAAACACTAACCATCCCTTTCACTCACCTTTACAAACTTTTTTGTAAAGGGCCAGATAATGAATATTTTAGGCTTGTGGCCGCAGGGTCTCTGTCACAACTACTCAGCACTGCCTAGTAATAGATAGTAACCAACCAAACGGGTATGGCTACATTCTAATAAAATTTTATTTACAAAAGCAGGCAGCTGAGGGCCACAGTTTTCCCTGACGGTACTATGTGTGGCATTACTACGTTCACTTCTGTTGCTGTACGAGATTCCATTTTATGAATATACCACAATTTGTTAATATTAATAGATTCTACTGTTACATACGTGGGTGTTTCCAGTTTTTGGCTATCACAAAATATGCTGTTATGAACACTGCTGTACATATCTTCTGGTACACACATGCACTCATTTCTGTTGGGCATATAACTCTCTTACATTATTATTTATCTGGTTCTATTTGGTTTAGTCAAGAGATAACATACCATGTGTGTATGGTGGTACAAAAGAAAGACAACTAACAACTTACTTATTTCCTACTTTGTACCAGCCATTATGTTTTACAGAAATTATTTCACTGAATCCTTACAACAATCCAATAAAGACTTAATTATAGACAGGGAAATTGAGGCTTATATAAGGTCACAAAGTTCATAAACGGCACAGTTACAAAGCAAACCAGGTCTGCTTGCTCCCAAGCCTGTGCTTTCTCCCACTGTGCGTATCACGTAGAGGGAAGAATGGAAGAAATGATTCAACCTGAGTTTACTGTTCAATAGAAAAACAGCTGACATAGGATCATGCTTTATAGTTTGTAACACAGAACGGTTCCACTCTGACATGACTGGTCCTTCCAATATACAAATAGCTAAATGCCTGAATGATCTATTTATATTAACATACATTAACGGTCGACACCAGTCTCAGAAGTCTGAATTCTTACTCTGTAAACGTTCTAGTAGAGATTATTATAATTTTCAAAGAGACAAGGTTAATTTGCAAATTCTGTGCCAAGGTAATGGGCATATATTTGTGTACTGATGATTAGAACAGCTAACTTATATAGCAGTTCCCTCACTCTTCACCTTCGAATTTAGCTTATCATTAAACCATTAATATAATACTGTTTTAAATTTCCATCACCGTATCTTTTTGAAAAGAGCAAGCTCTAACGTGCCAAATAGTCCAAACCCACAAAGTTAGCAAATATTTCATGTCAGATATAAAAACTGTATTTCACTTCAGCCGTTCTGAGTATGGTGTCTACAGAGCGGCCAGTCTACACCCACGGTGGCGACTGGCGGGTCTTACCTTGCCGTCCGTGGTGGTATTGATCCTGTAGTGATACACACGGCCCTCGTACCTGAGTGAGATCGACAGCTGCCCGGGGCTGCTCTCACTTTCCCGCACCAGGAAACTGCCGTTGATCAGGCTGCTGAGCAGATACTCTGCCGCGCTGCGCGACACGGGTCCGTGGTACCAGGAGTGCTTTTCCAGGCTGTTCACCGGGGTGATGTAGTTGCTCGGCACCCAGCCCTGTCCGTTCTTAGAGCGAACTTCGCTCCACTCACCATTCTGGTTGTACCCAAGGACACGCAGCTTCTCACCTAGCCATGAGGTCATGGCAGAATGAAAGAAAAGACATGAAGACTTTATTTCAGACTGAAGCAGTGTATTGTCAAACTTTAAACTCATTGAAAAATGAATCAGGAACTTTTATGTCAAAAAATGTTTTTAAATATTGAAAATAAACTTTGCTGCTCATTAATATCCTGATTACTCTCTTTAGCTTGTAGCTTAAACCACAGAAGCACAGTCAGAAATAATTTTCTGGCATTTACTACATTTTTTAAAGGTTTATACACCACCTAAAAATATCCTTAGGAAACTACGTATGGTAGTAAAATGGTACACAAAGATAGAAATGGCAAGGACATAGTGTTCACTCTTCAAAAGAAAAATAAAATTCACTTTCCCACAAAACAGTTTATCAAGGAGTATATCTTACATATACCTGGTTCGATGTTGACAATCAAGGATTAAGGATAAGACATGTGAAACACAAAGTTACTTGGCAAGTGAAATACAAATTTCACTTGCAATTTAGGCAACAAAATCATCCATGTAAAAAACAAAAACAAACAAAAAAACCACCACAGGCCACAGAATGTTCAGCAAGACTACCTGGGGAGTGGGCGGGCAGTCAGGACTCCCGAAGCACCATCTCCACCAGGACTTTCTAATTTCCCTTCTGTTCCCCACAGGAAGAATGAATCACTCCTTTCTACTCCTCTAAAATTAGGATACAATGGGAAGTTGACTCAGAAGTTGGGACCCAGAACCCAAGTCACTTAACACATCTTTGCTGCCAACTTCAGTGTCCCCGATTTCTCCATTAGTAAATGGTTGTGAACATCAAGGTTAGACCTCAACATGCGTCTTGCCCCTATACCTGCGGCACAGATTAGAAGCTTCTTTGGCAAAACTGGAAAGCTGAAAAAGATATCCTTAGTAACAGACAAATGTTAATCTGGAGAATCCTTGCAGTACCCCACACTCCTAGCTCCAAGAGACGCACGCATTCCTACAGAGTTCGTAACTGTTAACATTTGCTCAGTGTCAGAAAGGAGGAAGCCAAATCAATCAAAAGCACATGACCCAGAAACCCTCAGGCAAAGGCTGTTGAGGAAAAACCCTAAATAATCACTGTGGTGACCATCTATCTTTTTCCAGTGGCCTCCAGAAACGTTTACCACAGGATAGCTCTCTATGAGCCCTATGATCTCACCCGAGACACCTCGATACGAGACACTCAATGAGAAAAAATGTGAGTGCACATCACACGCACACGTATTAAAACAGACATACGTGCAGACACGGATTGTGTTGGGTGGCGGTAGATACACATCAGTGTGCAGATACATACTCGCCGACCATATTCACAAGGGAAAAAGAATCTTGCTAGAAAAACTGAAGAAAACTTGTTGCTCTGTAGTTTTTCT